AGCTGGAGAGCCCTTTCTTCTCCAGCCACGGCCTCCTGCTCTGGGAACCTCTACCTGGCTGGACACCGTCTTGCACGTGGTGCAGCTGAGGACGGTGCCTGTGTTCAGCCTCTTCATCCATGGGCATGAGACTCGCTCGTTGCACTTTGCACGGCTGCAGACAGTGAATCTGTGTGGAAGCAGCTGTGGGGCTGGATCCAAAATCAGGACAATTTTCACCTCTAGAAATATTGTGGGACAAGTTAGTTTTCTGAGCTTGAATGCTTTGGAGAGACTTGAAATGTTTGCAGAAGGTGCCAAAGCTGAGGAGGGGTCCCTCAAAGGTAAGGGGTTCTTTAGAACAGCACACGCTCCCTGCCTCTTGCCTTTGGCACGTAGAAAAGCCTTTATTAAATAAGGAGGAATTATCTACTTTGGGATAGTGGAAAGACGTTATTAAAATGGAGCTGAGCCACCCACTGAAGACTTCAGGCTTTCTGTGTTTTTGCTAAGTGACACATGAAACCTTCCCAATGTTGATCTTGTCGACTCTCATAAACAAGAGGAGGATATTAGCTGTTCTGTCCGTGTTAATGGGCTGACACGGTTCAACAGCGATGTCCGTTTAAATATCCTAAAAACCAGCCTGGTTTTCAGCCTAAGGCAAAATATTTCACAGGGGAAAAAAAAGACTATTCCCAATAATCCAAAATTTCAGGCCCAGGCAGGGACCCTGACGCACTTTTTGGACCTTTTCAGGGTATTTCCAGGCCCTCCCATCTGCCTCTGAGACACTCAGCGCATCTCAGCATCCCCTTTGGCTGCAAGGCTGGGCTGAGCCACCCCCATTGCCCGGGCAGCCCGGCGACTCCTGCTCGGGGACAGCGGGCGATGGACGGGCACTGGCGGGTATTCAGCTCCGTTGCTGCCCTCTGCAGCTCCAGCAATGCCTGGCTGCTATTTTTGTTTCCTCGTGCGGTGCCAGATGCAGTGATGAGCCCCTTCCCTCCCACCAGCTCCCGCAGCCCCAGCTCCGCTGGTGGGTGATGCTCACAACCACATTCATCGCCCACCGCCTCCTCCACCTCCCTGGGCCACCCTCTCCAAGACACAACATCAGGACATTGACGACGGGGAATTAACACACGTGCAATCATTGCAATCCATGCCTGAACCCCCCTCAGCATCCCAAGCTCTATGTTACGGACAACAGCGTTTCTACCTATGCGCAAACCCAAGAGGACTTCACTGGAGATGGCCAAACCCACCACAGCGGTGGTGTGGATGTCCCAGCTGTTTGCTCCCCCAGAGCATGGGCGTGCAGATACGGCAGGACACGGGGCAGCTCTCCTGCCTGGCACTGCTTGGGGCAGGTTCTGGATTCCAAATCCAGTGATTTAGGAATTATAATTAAGGATGGTCAACAACGCAATAATTTTAGGAGCATCTGAAGGAAGCCAGACACTTGACCCAAAGCTAAAAAAAAAATACTGCTTGCTACAACTGTGATTTTTTTTTCTTTTCATTTTTATCTAAGGAAAAACCACCCACAAACTACACCGATGTTCGCAGGAGAAGCAAGGCACTGCCAGCTTCCCCGCAGGGCACGCGATGGTGGAGGAGGTAAAACACGGTCTCACCTGCCAAAAAGCATTGGCACCGTCGTGCTGCAAACCCCTGTCTCAGCAGCGTGGCCCTCACCACCTTCCCCAGTCGTTGGGGCGTCCAGCCAGCCCCAAACTGACCCCAAAGCCAGGGCTGGGCACTGGGATTTCATCGGGTGGAAAAAAGGGCCCTGAGGCTCCCACCTGCACCCGACCTCACCCTCATGGTGCTGCACGAAGGGTGCCAGTCCCAGCACCCATGGGTGCTGGCAGAGCCCCCAGCCCCAGGGGTGGAGGCGCAGGGCAGCCCCCATCCTGCACGGAGGAGCCCCAGCACCGGGGCATCCTCCGAGCGGCATGGGGAGGGTCGATGGAGCGGGGGCACCTCGGGGCTGGGAGCAGCGGAGCCGGCTCTTCAGGCTCCTGCCTTTGAACTCAGGCAGCTCCGGGGCACCTCGCTCCATTTTGGGGCTCAGCCCCAGCTCTGCCTTGTGGCCCTGGCACAGGGGTCCCCAGGAGCCAGCCCCTCCTCGCAGCAGGAGCTGGCGTGCTGGGGGGGGCTGCGAGGCTACATGCCTCCCAACCCCCTGCCGTGCCTCAGTTTCCCCATCTCCAGGGGCATTAGAAATGCTTCCCATGTGTCCTCTCCCTGCTTTTCAGGCTGGCTGGAAGAGCCCTGCGAGTTCCCTTGCATCCCTAACTCTGTGCAAGTAGTCAGTTAAAAATACTTTCACGGTGCTTGGCCTCCTGCAAGGCTCCCAGGGCCCTTCTCCCCCCACGCTTTCTTTCCCCTGCAAACCCGGTTGCTCTCCGAGCCCCTGCCTGCAGGAGATTTTCCCTCGGGTAAAATCACCCCAGTTACCCAACTTCACCCATCAACGCTGAGCCCCATCCGGGCCAGCAACCTGCACCAGATGGAGGATGCACCAGCTGCCGGCCCCGTTCCTGCTCCGCTGTCTGGCCAAGTCTCTTGCCTGTTTATTTGCTTTTCAGTCTCTGGGTGACCTTTTCCTCTGCATGAAAAAATTCAGCCCTCACAGGCGGTGAGTGAAGCCATCCTGCCTCCCACCCGCGCCCCGCTGGCTCAGCTCTCCCCCCCGGCCCCTGCTCCCAGGGTCAGGCTGGGAATCCACCCGCTGAGGACGGATCTGGCAGATTGGGGTGTCTGTGCAGGAGAAACTCCCAAACCTGGGGGGATACGTGGTACAGGCAGGGGCTCTGGCAGGGTGATGAGCAGCTTGGGGTGGGGATGGAAAACCGTGACCTTCCCCATGCCTGGATCTGAAATGCCAACACAGTGATTTGCTCTTTCTGTCCCTCTCCCTCTATTAACTGCCTAAATTTCTCCCCAGCAGACGGGTACTGCAGCCTTTCTGCTGCCTCATCTGTCAGCGCACGATGGACGTGTCCACAGCCAGGGCTGGCTATGGACACACACCCCCATCTTGACCATTTTCTTCCCCAGCTCCTTGCTGGCACTTGGAAAACAGAAAACATCTATTTACAGTGAGTGAGAGAGTAGGAAAGCTGAAAATGAGGAGTCAGACCCCCCAAAACTGGCTCGAAATTCAGAATACTTTGGAAAACCCCTTGCACTGGTTGCTCCCACCCCTGGGTGCTGCCCTGCTGTGGCACGGGCTCAGGACACTCACAGGACTTTGAATGAGCCTCACTGAATCCCCTGACTCCGGGAGCTGGGGATTTACAAGAAACCCTGGGACAGAGATCCTTGCCATGGAAATGTCATGTAAGTGGCAGCACCTTCCTCCGACCGCTGACAACCCCATTCCCTCCCGAAATGTGTGCGGGGACTCCATTTGGGGGGCTGGTCCACGCCCAGAGCACGTCCCTGGGGGCAGGGGACCAGGTCCCACCATCCCCAGCGCCCACCGTGTTTCAGTCCCTCTGTCCCTGCCGCAGCGCAGGGACAACGCGGAGCTCTGCCTGTGCGGGGTTTGGATCCGGCTTCATCTGCGTCCCCCCAGCTTCAGCCCCCCACTTGTCTCCACTGACAAGCAGGGGGATTTCTTGGCCCATAAAGCTCTGAGGACCAGGGATGGCCAAGCAGGCTGCCTTGGCTGGAAAAACACCAAAATGCTTATTCCCAGGCTGCTTGGAAAGAGCCAGCATAAGCCTGGCCCTGCGTGGTGAGCGGGCTCTGGCCATGCTGCCGTCCCTCCCCAGAGCCACCCCAGAGCTGCCCTGGCACGGGGACAAGATTCTGTGGGCCCCGGCAGGGTCTGGCGGAGGTGGCCGGCGCGCAGGCTGGGGCCGGCTGCCGCAGCCC